TGTTTCTTACTTGTGTTGCAGGTGGCGGTGAAGCTAGAGCAAGTTATTTTGCAAAACTAGCAATCATTTTTCACATTCTTTCTGCACCGCATCGTAATTGTGTTCTCCTTTTACTTATTTCTACGTAGGAGACTCCCTCACAAGCAATGGTACAAAGTGGCTTATGGGAATAAAATCTTGCAAAACTTACCCCCAGAGCGTAATCATGCACATAAGGGTTACACATTGGAGCTTGAAATGACATTGGAACCATTGTTCTCGGAACCTTTCCAATAGGCATAAGAGGCTGAGCAGCTGCAATTTGAGTACCCATGATTAAATCGTTAGAAGTCAAAGCAAGTGCTTTTTTTTGGGAGACTTTTCGAACTTATTTCAAGCTTCGCGAAATAATAAGATTTTTACCGCTGTGCCAGTAATTGGAAGAACTACTCTACCAACCCCGCTGAGCCTAATTGCTCTCTTCTCCAAAATAGCTTGAAACAGCATTTTTTGACTGAAAAAGAGTTGCTTTGAAAGATTTATGGGTTTTTTCAAATCCACATCAAGTTTGTGGTGCGCTGTAGCAGCAACCGCTTGACATAGTCTTTCTGCGCTATTTTGCATGCTTATTTTCGTAACAGAGTTTTAAATTTACAAGAATAAACGTTTTCTTTGATGTTGTTTTTTTTTTTGCGAGTATCAGATCTGACACGCTCTTAACGCTTGCTTCTTGTTCTGGATTACCGATACAAACAGTTTTAATGAAGTTATAACGAAATTTGTAGATCACATTGGTTTTTTGGGAGGCCTAGACTGCTTCTGTAGTCCGAGAGACTTCAAAACTTGAATTTCATCCCCACTGCGCTTTCCTGCTTAAGTTCTCAAGTTTACCAGCTAGTTGACTTGGAAAAATCTATTCAATCACCTCAACTCAGTCATGTGCAAAATTGACAAATAACATAAGGTAATTTCATTTTCTAGAGATTTCTAAGTCTCCCACCACCACTTTTTAAACCTCTTTAGCTGCTTTAGCTGCTTTCTAATTTGAAGAAGTAGCCAAAACATAGACATATAATTTTCACATATAAAAAAGAATTTTTGACAGACATAAACAAATGTGACTACAGATTATGAAGGATGCGATATAGTCAAAACGAGGTAATATTGAACAAGAGGCAGTTAAAGCAGAAGAGCATGTTGAGGTTCTAAAGCTTGAACTTTTATTTCACTTTCACGACACTGAAAAGCAGTTAAAGAGA